TACACAGAAGAACTATACAAGAAAGAGCTTAACATACCTGATAACCATGATGGGGTGGTCACTGACCTTGAGCCAGACATCCTGGAATGTGAAGTCAAATGGGCCTTAGGAAGTCTAAGTGACAACAAAGCTAGTGGAGGCGACAATATTCCAGCTGAGCTATTCAAAATCCTAAAAGACGATGCAGTAAAAGTGCTACACTCAATATGCCAGCAAATTTGGAAAACTCAACAGTGGCCACAGGATGGGAAAAGGTCAGTTTACATTCCAATTCCAAAGAAGGGCAATGCCAAAGAATGTTCAAACTACCACACCATTGCACTCATTTCACATGCTAGCAAAATTATGCTCAAAAACCTACAAGCTAGGCTCCAGCAGTAATGTGGACCAAGAACTACCAGAAGTACAGGCAGGATATCGAAGAGGCAGAGGAACTAGAGATCAAATTGCCAACATAGGCTGGATCATGGACAAAGCTAGGGAGTTCCAGAAAAACATCTACTTCTGCTTCATTGACTATGCTAAAGCCTTTGATTGTGTGGATCACAACAAATTGTGGCAAGTTCTTAAAGAGATGGGAGTACCAGATCATCTTATTTGTCTCTTGAGAAACCTATACGCAGGTCAAGAAGCAACAGTGGGAACTGGACATGGAACCACTGATTGGTTCAAAATTGAGAAAGGAGTTTGGCAAGGCTGTATACTATTGCCCTGCCTATTTAACTTATATGCAGAGTACATCATGAGAAAGGAGGGGCTAGATTAATCACAAGTTGGAATTATGATTGCCGGGAGAAATATCAACAACCTCAGATATGCAGATGATACCACTCTAATGGCAGAAAGTTAAAGAGGAACTAAAGAGCCTCTTGATGCGGGTGAAGGAGGAGAGTGCAAAAGTTGGCTTGAGACTCAACGTTAAGAAAACTAAAATCATGGCATCTGGTCCTCTTACTTTCTGGCAACTAGATGGGGAAGAAATGGAGGTAGTGACAGATTTTATTTTCCTGGGCTCCAAGATCACTGCAGACGGGGACTGCAGCCAAGAAATTAAGATGCTTGGCTCCTGGGGAGGAAAGCTATGGCAAATCTAGACACCATACTAAAAAGCAGAAACATCACCCTGCTAACAAAATCCTATAAACAAGGCAAGGAGATAATGCTCAAAAAGCACCCACAGCCATCCTTTACCAGCTGTGGTGACTAACTGTTCATCATGTATCATATGTGTCAGAGCAGCCTTTTCAGTGACTGATGCTTGCCAGGTTAAGAAAGTGCATTCATGTCCTCTGCTTGGGATACTGAAACATTTGGTTTGACCTTGCAAAACCTGAAACAGAAGGGTCCTTTGTGCCAAGGCTTGAGAAAAACAAAGTCCTTTCAAAAGATACAAACTGACTACTTCACTCCTTACCTGCCAGGGACTGTCTCCTTTTCGTCCAGTTTTACCCCCAACTATTTTAGCAATCTTTGGCTCTTGCTCCACAATTTTTCCACAGGGGTATTCACCTGCAAAAAGAGACATCAAAACACTAATATGTCATCTCCATCACGTTAGTTTTTTAAAAGGAAATAACTTCCATTTTTTATCAAAACTTTCAAGCCACTTTATCCTTGCTTATTCCTGAATGTTCTATATATTCTGCAAGTGTCTCCTTCCCAATTTCTTAAGCTAAGGGACACTCCCAATTACTTTTGCTTTTAAAAGGGAAATCTTAGCAATAGTAAATGTTTGTTTTAAACTGTCTGTGACTGTGTGGGAGTATCCACTGATCAGTTTTATCAGTGCTCCACAAAGTATCACACACTCATTTCTAGTCCTTGTGGAAATTCTGTCTTCTATCTCCATCTCCTTAGAAGAAACATTCAGATTCTTTGTTCCTTGTAGTAGTAACAATCAGTGGAAAATAATATGCATCGTTAAGATCAGAGGCACAATCTGGAGAGTATAAAATGTGCCCAAGAACTGTTTGATATGTTACTAAAAATGAAGTTGCCGAATTTGAACTTTATTTCAGATTGGGATTGAAACAAAACTCACCTATTTAAATCTCTCTTTACACAGCCAAATACATTTTTATCCATAGACCGTTATTTTGATGTAGCAGGGTTCTACATGTAAGAAAAGTGTAAGAGCATCTACACAGAGGATCATTCCAAAATATGGTCCTCACCTGCAGCCCGAAGTAGCACGGTAGAAATTCTACTCCTGGCTCTGTACACTCCCATGCTGGAACTAGTATGAATGCCTAGCAATGTGCTTTACAGTCCAGCTCCATGTAGATTTCTTCAGGTGTGATCCTTTGTATATTTGGGAGTAAATCCTACTGTGTTCAAAGATCACTTCTGAATAAGTGTGCTTAGGATCTCAGCCTGAATCAGATTTAAGTGGAACTTAATCTAAGTGTGAGCAAGGTCCTACTATTTCCAGTGTATGAGCTCAGCTTTCTTTCTGTAATGCTTATTCTAATGCTGCTTATTCATAGTAACAGAAAAACTCTTGTCCACTCAACGAGATGACTTTACCTGTTTGTCTATGGTCGGGTATACAGACTCAGGGCAGCTGTTTCCTTCTTATGCTGCATTGCATCTATTAAGATTGAGGCCGAGAGGCACTGGGTGGCAGCAGCCATCTGCGTCCTCCTCTAGCTGGCATTTTCCTCCAAAGTAGACCTTACTACCAACAGGTTTTTTGCTCCTCAGAGTGGCCCAAGGACTGTGACTCTGCATTTCAACCAGCTACTCCACTGAAATGAGCTTGTGTGGGGAGGCGCTATAAGAGATGCTGACATGGGGTGGTGAGCTCCAAATAGCAATCCAGGCTTTGTTTCTGGATGAAAAATGCCCCCCTTTAGGGCGCAACACCATAGGGTCAGAGCCCCAGATCATGGGGGAGGGGGCAGCTGTCCCACCACCTGTCATCCCTGGGCACTCAAAGGCACAACTGAGGATCTGTGTTGCAGCTGAGCCCCAACGATTCACTGGCTTTTTGCTCTCATGTGCATCACCTCCTGCTGGCCCCTTCCCTGGGCTGTTTTGCCTGAAGGTTTGTTTCTGAAATCAAATGCTTCCCTCTCTGCTATCCATACCAGTATATCCCTTTTTACAAACAGTGGTAGCCTAAGGACCCAGGGTCCTTCAAACACATGCTCGCACACACACTCAAGAGCCCATGAAAATCAGCACAAGCCAATGCATGCTTTGGGCGCTACTGTGGGCTTGAGTCCTAGATCTTTTCTGCTCCTACATAGCACTGCTCCTGTCAAGAGACCTAGCTCAGAGAACGGGGAAAGTTGCCTTGCCCAGCACTGCCAGCCAGGTTACTTACATGATCATTGCTTCTGATTTTAAAGTTTTTCTATTAAAGCCACTCTGGTGCGTCTCTTTCCATCCTTCTCTTACCAAGAGGTTCACAAGACGTATGATTGGATGCCAGACGGTAGCCGGAAGCACAGCTGCAGTAACGGTAGGACTCGTCATCCTTTTGTGCCTCTTCACAGAAATGCTCACAACCCCCATTGTCAATAGAACAGTTGGTATGCAGGACCTCTGAACAGCAAGAACACCAGAGAAGACTGAGTCATATCATGGAAGGAGCTGCATGTGTGATTCAGCTACCCTGTGTAGGAATTGAGGGATCTTTATTGTGCTTTACGCTGGTTAGCCTTGTCCACCTGCTTTTGTTCTCTTTGTTCTCTCAGGCCATTGCATCACCTTTCTGCCCAGAAGGGGCTGCTGGAAATTGCATTTCTTCTCGGCGTAAGTTAAACATGCTAGACAATCAGACTGTACAGTCCGCTGTAGCATCTCTGAATGCAGCACGACTTGCTATATTGTGCAATAAATTTGCTATGTGGCCCGTGCACTGGTGGAAATGCGCATCCCAAAATCACAGTTTGGGATTTTGTTTCTGGTCAATTGCAATGTCATGGTTTAGATTTACCTGTTATTGTTGAATCTTGGTTTTAAAAAGCCTTAATAGGTCTTGCAGGCCGGGCAGGCTATATTTGAAGAAGCATAGTACTGGCAATGTGCTTTACGTCATACACAAGATAAAAATCTGATATTTCCATCTGATTGTTACCATGATCCTCAGCATGCATAACCCTTTTGCTGATTTCCTCCCAAAAAGGCATTGAGCAAGCAAGGACATTATGAAGGCAACAAAATTGTCCTACGTCCTGATTCACACTCAATGAAAAGTCACTGTGGTGAATTTCCTTATGGGGCTTCTTGTTCAGCAGCTGCTGTTTTGGTTATTTGGGATGCTGTGCAGGCATGCTGTGAAGCCATGGGCTGGTTGAGGGTTGCCATGTCAGCCATCTCAGCAACCACCTCTCTCCAGGTTTGCATGTAACAAGAAGCTATAGTGTGTCTCGTGACTCCCCAACTATTCAAAATGCTGGCTGCTGCTGCAGCAAGAAACCCCATGGAAAATTCACCCACAGTGACTTCTCATCGCCTGAGAATTGGGCTAATAAATTTAATGATAATTGAGCACCAGTAGAGTGTTAACCATCCCATCTCTGCCCATACATGGGGCTAACCTTGCAACAGGAGGAAGGCTCTTATTTGCTCAGTGATTTTTAAAAAGGACAGTTGAAGGCTTATGCTCAGTGAGGACCTTGACAGCAACCTATTTAAGATCTATATCTTGTGCATCAAATCTTACATGAATTGTCACTCACTTTTCATACTTCAAAAAGAGCAAAATGTTTATCCTTGCTAGCAAATTTTGTGATTGAGAGATCTGCAGCTAGTGTTCATCTGGAAAGGCATGCATATTTAGTGGTGTATTTGCAACTTGATACAACAAACAGGGGTGCCCATTATAAACTAATAACTATATTTTTATTGTAAAATGGCATTACCAGATTGGCAGACGGATCCCTCCCAGCCTTCGTTACAAATGCACTTGAAATTCGCAATTCCGTCACGACAGGTTCCATTGAAACATGGGTTGGGTGTACACTGATCTCCATCTGAAAATAAATGTGTAGGGAAACCCAGACCATTTGCCACACACATTTTTGCAGGTATGCTCCTCTTTCTGTCTCCAACCTCCATTTACAATGTGATCTGTCTGTAGTGCTTCATCTCTTTCATGTATATGGAAAATATTAGAAATATTGGAAAAACTAAAAGCAGTGACTTGTTTGAAATGCAATTCTGGGTCAGATTTGCAGCAAGCACAGACAAATTAGTCTGAATGTCAAGGGAATCCCAAAGCTACATTTATCTGGTGACTTCTATAGCAGGGCTGTGCAGACTTTGAGGAATCGTTGTTGCTGTTGTAATCTACCACTAGCAAGGCACAAATGCTAAAGACATACACTTAAAGTTAACATGTTCTGAGCACGGAAAGTTTTTTCTTGAGTACCAGACCTGAACTGAGCACACAGTCCTCCCATAATCCTGAAACCTTAATTTCAACAATTATAATTTTGGATGTGGTGGTGAAAGGCATTTTGTTGCCACAATAGTTGAACAACTAGGAGTCAGAAATCCTTGCTGCTAATCTACTTCAGACCAGTATGTCCTACCAGATATACCTTCTGGCCAGCCCTGTTCTCCAGCACAGACCTCAGAAAGTTATCTGCTAACAGAGCAAGTTGCATTAATGAATAAAACTTATCTGCTGAGAGCAATCTGGTACAGGGGTTGGTGGGAAGAATGCAGAGGTGCCCACTATACCCAGGGAGACTGTAGTCTTCTTTACTTACCGTAATACTTTGTCCAATAATCCAACTGTGAAGAAACAAAATCTAAGTTAAAGTTTGAACCAGACGGTGATTAGATCTTGATTGTGTCACATGATCTTTTCATGCAAATAGGACAATCATAATCCTTGACAAAATAATAATAGGAATAAACTGTTTTTATACATCTCCCGTCCAATATGGCATGCAGGTTGAATGGATCCAGCATTTGGTGAAGCCATATTACGGCTTTAAACACATGCCCAACCCAATTGATACTCAACCCCACCTGGCAGGAGGGCAGGTGATGAATATGACTTGACTAGTTGTTGGCAGAGCATGGTACAGTCCTTCCCAAACTGGTGTTGTCTAAAGAGATCTGGCCTTTATTTCCTCCGTTAAAGTTATTTTTTTGCAATCACTTACACTTATTTCCTTGACTTGAAATATCTCATAGATTTCCTCAAAATCACACTGCTCTTCTCGACATTCCCGCTCCAATGAACCAGGCTTTATTTCTTCCAAGAAACTATTTGCCCGCTTCTGGATTTTCAGCACTTGATTTGCTTCTTGGCTGCTGTAAAACACTGTGGGGGAGGTCCACTCAGGCCATTTATACCATCACACAGCTAGCTGCAGACCGTTATTCAGGCTTGTTCACCAATTATACACTGATACTGGCTGAAGGGGTTTTGAAAAAGTAAAAACACTAAAAGCTTTGGAGGCACTAGAAACTAGTATGGACAAAATCACGCAGACTTCACTGCTGCTGTCGCTCATCTGCAAAACTATAGAAATGGCACGGATGAAAGCAGGCCCACACCACATTCCTTCATAAAGTGAGAAGTGTGTCTTTTTGCTTGCTATCACATCAAAGAGAGATGCTCCCTCTGACTCTAGCATGTCACTTGGAGCTCTTCTGCACAGGATTCTGTGTGCATGAAATGCCACTGGCTCAAGCCTTCCACTCTTACTGTTACACCTTTAAAAGAGGCAGTGGCTCACAGGGTATCACGCTTATCTGATGAAAGGAACTCAGGAAAGAAGAAACATATACCTGAAGCTTCATGGCTCCCAAGCAGCATGAAGGCAGCAGAAAACACCAAAATGGTAACAATACGCCACATAACACAACACATTGCGCACCTAAGAGAATAACCACCAAAAATTAACAGCTTGTTTTAGGGAGATACATAGTCCTATATCTTCTTTGAATTGCATGCTTTTTAGTAAGATTTAATAAAATAAACTCAAATGACTGTCATAAGTGGCCAACAAAGCATGGTATGCTGTTTCTGATTTATTTTTACTATTACGCCACTACATAAACATCAGGAGAAATTTCTTTTATAGACCACTCCCCATCATTCCAAACTGCTAACATTTTGGCAGTTTATGTTTACTATTGACTGTTCCACATTAATTCTACATCTATCCAAAATTTGGAGTCACTCAACCAACTTTCACATGGATTTGTATTCCCAAAGCAACATATATACCATCTATCTGAAAACCACACAAAATGTATTGCTGATTCTCTTCTGAGCTTCCCTACGGTTCTTTTCCCCTACTCTTTTCACCCTTCCTCTTTGTTTTCTGATAGTTTAAAAACATCATTGTGTAAAAGAGAATCGGGACTTTTAGAAAATCTTGCAAAAAACTTACTGGTTTCAACAGCTGAATCCCAGTTGCCTACTGTTCCGCCATCAAACCCAGAGGAGACTAGTTAATCTATAACTTCAAATATTTACTCAGGGACACACTCACAGAGCTTCCCTTTCAGATAAACAAAACCTGCTTCTATCAGATTCTACAGGGTAAATGGAAGATGAGCAGTCACTTCAAACATTTTCCTTTCTGCCGTATTTTCTTCTGTAGCTGTCCAAACGATGGCTAGTATTGCAATACAACTGTGTTGAGACTCAAGGGATTTTTCAGCTCTCCCATTACACAGAAAGCCAAATTCAAATCTTGCTCATTTCCCTTTTTTGGGTGGTTCAGGTTGAGACTTCTCCTGTGTCATGACCCTGTCTCATGCACGGAGTTGTACTGTGAGGCACAGAGAGTTCAGTTTCTATAGTTTTCTAGTGGAAACTGTCCTGCATTCTCCCACTTCTTCCCACCCGCTCCCCAGTCTGTCTGCAAGCACCACAGATTCTTTGACATCTTGTTTCTGTCCACAAGCAACTTCAAGTTAGAGAGGCCACAAGAGAGCACTAAAGAGTTATAACTGCTTGCATCCCTTCCCAAGGAATTACAATGACATGGTCTTGGACTACAACAATTTAGTCTGCCTTCATCCTTCTTGGCCTCTGTAACTGCCTTCAAAACTGTTGCCCGTGTGCTTCTGGTCCAAAACTTAGAATTTCAGTTTTCTTCTCAGCTGGTTCTCTCATTAATGCAGTTCAGTGTTTCTGGCAAGAGAAGCTTACCTTTGGTCTTCGACTACTTATTAAGGTTGCTCAGGGTCATGTGCTTGGTCCCAAGCATTCCTCTATACATGGTTTCTGGTTACTTCATTTGGCTTTTATATTACCACTTACATGGTGATGGCATCTAAGGGTTGGGTGTATC